TCCTGGGGTCTCTTGCAGAATTTTGGACTTTAGTTAGAACTAGGTTCAAATCCCAGCTTTGCCACTTACTCAGGAAAAATATCTTTTCTCATCTAGAACTCTGAGCAGCTTGAACAGTTTGATCTTTATTGAGCTGTATGTTTATTAAGCTGAATTACAGAGCTGGAAATCAGCTCTAAATTAAATTAATTAATGGTTAAAATAAATAAACTGACAAAAGGAAAATCTAACCTCCACCAATGCCTTCATCAAGCTAATTAGTTAATATGAAGAATTTCAGAGGTGCATGGGAACACGTATGTGAAATAAGCAGAAGCAGGAAAGTAATATCAGTGATAACTACAGTAATATAATTGGAAACAATAAAAACTAAACTAAATGTTGTGTGATTACAAGGATGAAGCTTATCCCCCTCCCCCCCAAAAAAGTAATGAGACTATGTATCTTTTATTGGTATGGAATACCAATATTGGTATGGAATACCTATATGTTTTTCAGACTTGGTTGACACATTTATTAGTAAGTTTTGCTGAACAACCTTTTTTTTCCTCTCTTCCTTTTTTGTTCTTTCTTGTAATGAATGGTTCTCTGGGTCAAGGAAGAAAAGAAACAAATTCGGAAATAAAGGTGATATAAAATGAAATATATGAATAAAATGTTTAATAACACAAATTAAATGAATTCAGAGAAGCATGGGAAGACTCATGTGAACTAATGCAGAATTAAGGGAGTGGAACCAGAAAAGCAATCTCTACAATGATTATAGTAATACAAGTAGAAAAAAAAATAACAAAATGAAATGCTGTGTAATTATATTGACCAATATGGTTTTACCTGGAAGAGTTTAGAAAATGTATCTGCCTGCCTTCTTTGTGTGGGAATGGGGTTGCGAGGGCAGGGTGGTAAGGACTATGGATGTGGAATACTTAAAATACTGTCACACTTAATTAATGTATTGCTGAATTGCTTTTTTTTCTCTTTATTTTTTATTTTTTGTTCCTAGGGATGGCTCTTCGAGGGAAGGGAGGGACATTCAGAAATGAAAGTGATATCAAAAGCTACCAATAAAATAAAAGGAAAAATATGGGAATGTTTTAAATTTTTGTACTGTGATGAGAATTCTTCATCTTGCTCCACTCCATCTACAAGACATTCATTTGCTTTTATATTTTACTATTTTTTTCTTGTTCTGTCTTTTTAGATGTCAATACATTCATAGTGGGCAGGATACAGAAAGAGTACTGGACTGGGTTATAATCTAAGCTCTCCTACTAACTTGATATGTGACTTTGGGTAAATTACTTACCCTCTCTGAACCCCATTTTTCTTATCTGTAAATTTGAAGGGATGAAGAAGATAGATCTCTTCTAGCTCAATGTGTGCTCCCAAAGCCAACCATCAAAAGACTTCTTTTAAACCCGTACAAACTCTAATATTTAATTTCCATGCCTATAGGGCTGTCCTTTGCAACAAACATGGGCAAGATATATAAACAGTATTATTCCCATACATGAGGAAATAGTCTTTCCAGAAAAATGCTAGAAAGGAGAAAAGGGTATCAGAAACACAAAGACCATTCTGATTCTGTGTGTAGCTAAGGAGGAAGCATTAGCACCAACCAGCCCATCTGTTCTTTTCTTTTGGATAAATTTCACACTTTTCATGCTGCTAAGACAATAGTCGCCAACTTCAGTTCTGCAACACCCTGGAATATTTTTAGTTATTGGAGAAGGAGCCTTGTGAAACATTCTCCCTTCCCACCAAACAAAATTAATGTTAACTCATCTTAATGGTATAATAAAGATCTTTATTCAAGATAGTAGGATCTGACCTTAAGCCACATGTGAAAGCATCTATGGAAAGAAAAGTTTTGTTCTTTTTTAAAAGAATTTCAGGTATGAAGGAAGAAATTCAGATTCATAGGATCTCAGAGACCTCATCCACTGCAGAGTCTAACCCATGTCTGAACAGGAATCTCTCTAATAAGGAAGTCTTAGCTATTAGACTGTAAGCTCCTGGAGGGCAGGGACAGTCTTGCCTCTTTTTGTATCCCCAGCACTCATATAATGCTTGGCACATAGTAGGCATTTTATAAAATTTTATTTTTTGATTAATAAATGTTGATTGATTTATTGGAGTTCAGGTATCCCTTCAGGGCTCATTGAATTTGTATGGGGAAGAAAAATCACATCTTTATTTTCATTACCCTCATTTCCTTCATTTATTTAAAAACTTTATTCTCAGAAGGGGTCCATAGGTTTCACCCCACTGTCAAAGGGGTCCATGACCCACAATAGGTTAAGATCCCTTGCTGGAATACACCCAAGTAGTTAGTCTCTCCTTAAATTCTTCTAATCATAAGAAACTCACTCTCCACCAAGGCAGCTGATTCATTTGTTAACAGCTCCGACTGTTGGGAAGTTTTTCTTTACATTGAACTGATATTTTTACCATTGTTCCCAGCTCCCCAGTCCCGGGCCAAAAAGAATAAGTCTAATTGCCCTTTCAAATGATAGGCCTTTCAAATACTGGTATATAGTTAGCAATGTTGCTCTCTCTCCCCCCAGGCTTCTTTTCTCAAGCCAAATATCCTCATTTATTTCAAGTAATCCTCAAAAGCACAGCTGTGCTTTTTTTTACCTTCCTGGTTGCTGTCCTCTGGACACCTCTCCAGGTTATCAATGTTGTTCCTCAAGAGTGGTCCACAGAAATGATCCAACCATTCTGTAGAGTAATTTGGAACTATGCCCAAAGGACAATCAGACTGTGCATACCCTTTGATCCAGCAATATGACTACTAGACCTGTATCCCAAAGCAATCATAAAAAAGGGAAAAGGACCCACATGTACAAAAATATTTCTAGCAGCTCTTTTTGTAGTGGCAAAGAATTGGAAATTGAAGGGATGCCCATCTATTGGGGAATGGCCGAACAAGTTGTGGTATATGAATGTAATGGAATGCTATCTTGCTATAAGAAATGATGGGCAGGTGGATTTCAGGAAAATCTGGAAAGACTTATATGGTCTGATGCTGAGTGAAGGGAGCAGAACCAGGAGAACATTGTACACAGTAACAGCAACATTGTGTGACAATCAACTATGATTGATTTAGCTCTTCTCAGCAATATAATCATCCAATACAATTCCAAAAAACTTATGATGGAAAATGCTACCCACATCCAGTAAAAGAACTGATAGAGTTTGAATGTAAATCAAAGCAAACTATTTTCAATTTCTTTTTTTGTGAGTTTTTTTCCTTTTGAAACTATTTCTTCTTTCACAACATGACTAATATGGAAATATGTGTTACATGATTGTATATATATAAAACCTATATCAAATTGCTTACTGTTTTAGAGGGAGGGAAAATATTTGGAACTCAAAATTTTATTTTAAAAAATGAATGTTAAAATTGCCTTTACACGTAATTGGAAAAAATAAAATACCATTAAAAAAAAAAAGAGTGGTCTTGAGAACTGACCATAATACTCCAGATGTGTCCTGACCAAGGCGGAGTTCAGAAGGACTGACTACTACGTCCCTAGGCCTGAATACTATGGCTCTCTTGGTGCATGCTAAGACTGAATGAGCTTTCTTGGGTGATGCATCACACTACTGACTCATGGTAAGCTTGTGGTCCACTTTATTTGAAGTAACTTTCAGCTGTTTAAAAAATAATAATAATTCCTTACTTGATGGAAAATTTGTCACCACAAAGGAAGGAAAAAGCATTAGGAATTGGAGACAGAAGACACTGGTTTGAATCTCCACCTTTAATACAGAGTAGCTTAAAAAAAGAATGTTAAAATATGAATGAATGTTAAAACATTAGCATAAACTAATAGAAATTGGTCACTAAGAGAGGTAGCCAGTAAGGTAAAATACAGTTTTTATTTGGTCGTTCTGTCTGTAGATTCCACCCCACCCCCAGCACTACCCCAATTACCCAGGCAAAATGATTAAGATTGTCTCTCCCACTTCTAAACGTACAGGCTCTCAGACCCCTTATTTTAGCCTGAGGAAGCATGCAGCATGATCCCTTTCGAATGGTTCTTGGCCCTATTATCTCCAGGTACAATCCAGCCTGTTTGAAATATTACCCCACAGCTTAGTTTCCAGCCTTATTTTTTTTAAGATATACCAAATATTTATTTTCTTAAAGGCTGCCTGGAGAAATACACAAATATGAGAACACCTCAAAGAGGTACAAGGAGGCATCCCCAAACTTTCTGCTTTCTGAAGGAGAAGGGAAATAAACTTTTAAAAATGTACTTGAAGTCTAGGAGTAAGCACTTCAGGCAAATAGGTGCAAAGATGTCCCAGCAGGAACCACAAGCCCAAAATAAACTGTAGTAAGTACTCTGTCAACTGTACAATCTCAGAGGGAAAGGGACCTAGTATGATGATACCTGGCTGATAAGCCTCATACAAACATACTCAACGGTGGTCCTCTCTTGAAGACCTCAAGTGAGGAAGACTACTATTCTGGGATAGAGAAGGAAGTAGGGTTTGGAAGACATTAGAGGAGGAAGTAAAGTGAGGGTAGAGAATGGGGCTGGGGAAGAAGAAGAAAATGGACAAGAAAGGAGAGAGAAAGAAGAATAGATGTGGAAGAATGGAGAAGAGAAGGCAGAAAGAGGAGGAAGAAAATGGAAGGGAAAGAAGAGAACTAAGAAGAGAGCAGAGTAGTAAGAGGGCATTTAGAGTTCAGAGGAGGGAAGATGAACAGGAGAGCTAGAGTCGGAGGAAAAAGAGGACGATGGAAAGCAAAGCTGAAGGCAGACAACGTGGATGGGAAAACGGGGAGCAGAAGGTACAGGAAAGTAGTTTGGAGAGAGAAGAGGATGAGGGAGATTAGGAGCTGGAGTTGGGGAAAGAGGAGCTCGGAGTTGGCTCTCTGAGGAGGCGGGGTCCGGCCCGGAGGCTGGGCACGCAGCTGGCCCCAGACGCCTCCTCCTAGACAGCTGCATCTGCCCCTAAGGCACAGCCCACGTACATACCTCTTTGCGCCTGAGTTCTGGCTCCTGCAACCCAGCCTCCTCCCGCGGCAAGACTATAGCTCCCCGGATAATCCCTGGCTGCCTCGTCAAAGCTCCGCACCAGACTTCAGGAGTCCTCTCCAACCCACTCCCACAACCCCCTCCCTCCTTCTTCTCTAGGGTGTGTGTTGAGGGGAGGAGCATTGGATGCCTGACTCGGCTTTAAAATCTGGCTCCGCGCAGTCCTGCCAGCAGAACAAGGGTAGAAGCCGCTGCCTCCACCTAGCACGACGCCTAAGAGACCCTCGGCACATTTTGCATGCCCCAGGAAATTTCTCCAGCCCGGGTCTCAATTGAACTGAACTCTTGATACACCCAGCTCCGAGTCCACCTCTGCCTAACCCCCTAGGGGCTAGTGCTCCGTATGTTCTGGACCCCAGAACCCTCCGAAAAGAACGAAGCAAGTCCCGTTCCTCAGGGGCAGCTTCCTCTGGCTTTAGCTGAGCAGGCTTTGCAGTAAGTCCCATTTGCCCCTCTCTGGCCAGTCCGCTCTTTTGGCGCCCCTGGTGTATCTGCCTGTTTCCCAGCTGTCCCGTTACGCTTCTGCAGGGGTCTTTTAAAATCAATTGCAGCTGCAGCATTCGAGCCCTGAGACTAAGTGGAGAGGGGTTGTCATGCCTCAAAGCACCTTCCTTCTGTGCACCCTGGGGCTGCTGGCGCTGCTTCGCCCCGGCCGGGCAGAGCCCCTGGCATGCCCACCGCGCTGCGACGTCTCCAAATGCCCCAGTCCCAGCTGCCCCGGAGGCTATGTGCCCGACAGCTGTAACTGCTGCCTGGTGTGCGCCGCAGCCGAGGGCGATGCGTGCGGCAGAAAGGACGACCCCCCGTGCGGAGACAGCTTGGAGTGTGGCCACCCGGCGGGCAAGCGCTTCGCCAAGGGAGTCTGCCAGTGCAAGCTGACTTACCAAGTGTGCGGCAGCGACGGGCGAACCTACGACAACGTGTGCCGGCTGAAGGCTGCCAGCCGCAAAGCCCTTCAGCAGGGGCTGCCCGCTGTCATTCAGATCCAGAAGGGCGCCTGTGAATCGGGTAAGAGGAGCGCGGGCCCACAGTGCACAACTGGGGGGCAAGTCAAGAATCAGAAAGGTCTAGCCTGAGAGAGCTGGAACGTGGAATGGCAGAGTTTGAAGGGACCTTGAAGTCGGAAAGTTAGAGAAAGCTCCCAAAGGAATTCGGCCCCGGGCATTTTCTCTGGCTCACTCCCAAGCCTAGAATGCCCTTCCTTCTATTCTTTGCCTACCGGCCTCTGGCTTTTTTTTTTTTATGTCCCAGCTAAAATTCCATCTTCCACAGGAAGCTTTTCCCAACCTCTCTTATTTCTAATGCCTTCCCTCTCTGATTATTTCCTATTTATCCTGTTTGTAACTTTTGTGTATATATTTGTTGTCTTGTTGTCTCCTACATCCTAGATTGTGAGCTCCTTGAGAGCAGGGACTGTCTTTTGCTTCTTTTTGTATCCCCAAGCCCTTAGCACAGTGCCTGGTGCATAGCAGGCACTTACTAAATGTTTCTTGGTTGATTGATTGATTGATTGACATGGATTGTCAGTTCTGGAAAGGAACTTAAAATTTTAAAGTGTAAGATGTGGGAGATATCTTAGAATGTCATAATTAGAATGGGACTTAGAATTTAGAAGACAAAATGTCAGAGCTGGAAGGGACCTTATAATCTAGAACCTCAAGTGTCTGAATTGGGAAGAGCCTTAAGGCTTAGACTATCAGAGCTGGAATCAACGAATCACAGAAGTCTCAGACTTGGAAGACTCTCAGAGAGTATGGAGTCCAACCCATTCTTCAAGTATAATCCCCTTTTACTGCATCCCTAAGAAGTGATCATGTAATCTTTGCATGAAGGCTTCTAGTAAGGGGAAATCTACTACCTCTCCCATTATACTTTTAGAAAGCTCTAAAAGGGACCTCAAAACAGAGAATGTCAGAACTAGACTTAGAATGCAGACCCATGAGACAACAGGAATAGAGGGGACCTTAGAGATCATCATTTTAAAGATGAGGAAACTGAGGCCCAGAGAAGGGAGGTAACCCCAACACAAACATCTCCACCTGTAGAAATCCTACCCATACTTTAGGGTTCAAAGAGTTAGTGGGAAAGTGGACATTGGAACAATGTCACCTGGTTCCTTGTCCAGGAATGTTTGCAAAGCTGCTTCTCAGCATACAGATGTGCCCTGATTAGGAAGCTGATTCAAAGGGGAATGGACCAGAGTAGGCTGCTCCAAAAATGAGAAGAAAGCCAAGGCCCCCCAGTGATAGCTATCCTGGGTCTCCCAACTGTAGTGTCCAATAGCCTAGGAAATGCTTAAAAGACTATAGGATTATAAGATTACAGAGTTATAGCTGGAAGGGACCTCAGAGGTTCTCTAGAGATGACATCTCATTTCACAGATGAGGAAACTGAGGCTCAGAGAAATGAAGTGACTTGCCCAGGGTCACACAGTTACTGCAGTATGACTCAATGGGATCACTAACACCTGAGTTCTAATCTTACCTCTGCAATTAACTTGTCCTGTGACCTTAAACAAGTTATATCACACTTTCTAAATAATAGTTTTACCTGAGAGATGAAAGAGTCATACTTAATGATTGTTAAGCCTCTCCTTCCAGGTCCAGCATTCACTGATTCCCCTCTCTTTCCCCTCCTCTCCTCTCATTCAAAACTTTCCCTAATCTGGGTCCTAGTCCCTCAAGCTTTGCATTCCTAATGTTACTGCGTTGATAAAACAAGCTCTAATTCCTCTTGATGTGTTGGGGAGCAAATGCATTAATCTTCTTGGATAGCCCTGTTAATATATTCTGCCACTTACAGGATGTGTTTACATGGCCAAATTCCTTTATCTCTCTAAGCCTCAGCTTTCTCATCTGTAAAATAGGGATAATGAGCCTGGCATAATCTACTTCCCAGGTTTTTTTGAGAAGAAAGCACTATATAAACTGCAATGGGCTATAGAAAAATGAAATTATTATTAGAGTTTTACCATGAAAGGCAAGAGCAGCATAATGCATAGAGATTTTGACTTGGATTTGATAAGGCCTGAGTTCAAATCTCACCTCTGTTATTGGGTAACCCTAAGCAAGTCACTTAACTTCTCTGTGTTCTAGGAAGTTCTTTAAGACTCTTCAGTTATAGATCCTGACTTGCACTGGTGGAGGGAGCTTACCCATAGGGAATTCCCTACATGATGAAATCATTGGTCTGAATCTGTCTCCCCCTCCCATTTGTTGGGGGAGACATTTTAGGGGCCAAAAGATCTCAGCATTCTTCAGTCACAGAGCATATATAAGTGGCTGACCTTTCAACTTTTTAAATTGTTTAACTGAACTGAACTGAATTATGGGTGGAGGTAGTTCTGAATGGAACCTGCCCAGAGAGTTGTGTGGAACATTCATTTTGATACCCAATGAAGAAATGCATGATATAGTGGAAAGAGCATCACCTGGGGAGTCAGAGGAAACCTGGATTCTATTCCTAACTCTTCTTATTGTTTGACTTTGGGAAAGTCCTTTTGGGTCTCAGTTTCCCAACCAGTAAAATGAAGGGAGAAGAGTAGATAATTTCTGCTTTCAGCTATAAAACCTGTGACCCTATGAAATCTTCACATTGCAAATGATTATTGAGACTATGTTATAGTATCATAGATGGTTTTTTTTTCAAACTGGAAGGGATCTTAGAGATCAGTAAGTCCAACTCCGTCATTTTACGAATGAGTAAAATGAGGCCCAGAGTAAACTGAAGTGACTTGCCCAAGGTCATATAGGAGCTGAGTAGGTAGGTCAGGATTTATAACCAGGTCTTCTGACTCCAAACACAGGTTTTCTTTTCCATTGCACCACAATGTCCTCTTCTTACATTCATCATGAATTTTCCTATTTTTCTCTGATGCTTCATTAAATATTCTCAACAATGGCTAAAATGAATTGATGGCTCTCCTGTTCCATATTCAATATGAAATGGCTTAAAACATCATCATTTACAAAATGATCATAATATCCTTACAAGGATTGTAACAGCTCACAGTGACATCATACTTTACAATTCAATTTCATCCATAATCTCAGTTGTTCCTCACAAGAACCCTGAGAATTAGATATTATAAAGAATATTTTCCGCATTTTACACAGTAGAAAAACAGATGGTTGGATTGGTAAAATGACTTTTTAAAATACTGAGCCAGGACTCCAGAGTAGGTGTTCTGAGCTCAGGTCAAGCTAATGCCATTTCTAGGACACAAAAGCCTTCTCATAACATGACTCAATCAAGTATGGAATTTGGTACAAGGCAAGTCCATCTTGAATCCTATACAACGTAGTTTGATTATGGGAGTTATCAGAGCCGTAATGGCAGAGTGGAAAGAAGAGTGACTTTGGAATCAAGGAAGACCTAGGTTTGAATCAGTACCCTCCCACTACCTAGCTGTGTGACCTTGGACAAATCATTTCTCTTGAGCTGTCTGAACCTAGTTCCTTTTCTGTAAAATGGGGATAATAAGTCCCTTCCACACAGTATTGTTATGAGAATCAAGTGAGGTCATGTACAAGAAGCACTTCGGAACATGCTAGACAAATGTAAACTGTTCCCACTGTTTCAGTGTCTTTTATTAATCGATCAATAAATAAACATTTATTAAGTGCCTATTTTGTGCCAGGCACCGTACTAAGGACCGGAGATATCAAAAAAGGCAAAAGACAGTCCCTTGCCTCAGGGAGCTTATAATCGAATGGAGGAGACAACATGCAAACAAATACACACAAAGCACACTGTATACAGGATAAATGGGAAATAATTAACAGAGAAAAGGCACTGGAATGAAGAGGGGATGCAGAAGACTTCCTGTAGAAGGCAGGATTTTAGTTGGAACTTAAATCAAGCCAGGGAGGTCAGTAACTGGAGTGAAGGAGGGACAGCATGGGGACAGGCAGAGACAATGCCCAGAGCCAAGAGATGGAGTGTCTTGCTCATGGAACAGCCAAGAGGCCAGTGTCACTGGACTGAAGAGCACTGGTCCTCAGTTTCTCCATCCATAAAGTAAGTGAGTTGGACTAGATAATCTCCAAGCCAGATGTGACTTGGAGAGGGATTGGGGACCCTTGTTCTTACATCTCAGGAGTCAAGCTGCAGGTCAGGGTGTTGTGGAGAATCCTCTGAAATCGCTATCCCTGTGTACACTCAGCACACAGGTTTCTAGCTCTTTCAGCCTAGGGGGGTAGAGGGAGGGCTGACCTCAGAAAAACCAAATCGACTGCTCTGATTTCCCAAAATCACAGGGTCGAGGTTACCTGGGCCTTTCTACAGACCCCAGGTTGTATATCCCACAACTTATCAGGTGCCATGGGAACTAAGTTTGCATATGCTCTTCTTCCCTTCAATAATAGATACTTACCTTTCCACACCACTCTCTCATATACATAACAGTCTGCAACCCAGGTCTACTTACTATTTTCTAGTCACATCCTTTAGCTTCCTATTTCTAAGCCCTTGTTCACACTAGGTCAACAACAACGGTGGTGACAACAACAACGACATGCAGACACACACACACACAGACACACACGCCAGACCAGACTCAAAACTATGCAAGTTAGCTTGGTCAAGCCTAGATGACAGAATACTGAACTTGGAATTAGGAAGACCTAAGTTCAAATCCTGCCCCCAAATATTTACTTAGCTGTGTGAATCTGAGTAGGTCAAAAGCAGATCAAATGAGATAATATAGGTCAAGTGCTTTGCAAACCTTAAAGCACTATATAAATGCCAACTAGTATTATTGTCGTTGTTAGTAGTTACAGTTCTCCATGCTGGAATAGCCTCTTCCCTGATCCATTCCTACCAGCTGCAATCCTACCTATACTTCAGAGACCAGCTCAAGTACCTTTTCTCCTATGAAGCCTTTCCAGATTACTTACTACCATCCCCAAACAACCCCCTCCCCCCAATCCCAACCCTACTGAACTACCTTAGCATTTTAGTTTATACCTCTCTTTCCGCACTTTGTGCCCTATAGGGAAAGCAGCCTG